GGAAGGAGTTATCACTACTCCGGACAATAATGTTGGCATTGATGAGGACACGCTTTCCCTCGTTGACGACTTGGAGCTGATTTTTTCCCACCCTTGGGCCAAAGTGGGGTATAGGCATTTGTTGAAGGGTACAGGGGTACTTGGGCATGTAAAATGAGCGATACAAAGATGAAGAACGAGAAGGACGTCAGTTACACAGTTCACGAATTTTCGTTCGCCATGCAGGTAAAAACAGCATTACGTTTATGTTTTTTGTTCGTAAGTATTCAAACAGTTTTCTACATTCTTTGGATGGATACTTATGTGACAAATTTTTTCTTTCCATCCGGACAGATTTGGGCATACGAGGTCGCGCTCGAACTCGGCGAACACTTTGGTCAGCGGATGGGTGAACAATCGTCTTGAATTCTGTGCTGGACCTCTACCAAACAACCGCAGCAGCGTACGTACGATGCGTTCTTCAGAGACGTACAGGTTATGGACATTTTTAATTTACCTTTCAATTATTTTGTTTTTTTGGAAATACTATGCAATATATTTTAACTATCCATTCTCCCATGTTTCTACAACTGCATGTGCACGCCACACTACGTCCCACAGAGGTCGAGCGTGATCTCTCATACATCGCCAGTTTGGTGCCGTTCCTAAACCGTCCGGTGCAATTTTTGGACGACCTTGCCAGGAGTGTTTTCGGGCCATAATTCCATGAGGTGGCACCGGCCAGTGGTGGACATGACGGTAGCACTGAGGGTGAGGGCCATGACAACGAGTCCGGTGCAAGGGCCGAAGACGATGAGACATTCACGAGCGATGACCGTCAAAAACCGATGGGCAACGACGACGATGGGTCTAAGGCTGATGAGAGTGGAGACAGCAGTCGCGACATCTCCAGCGAAACCGATGCTGGTGACACTAAGGACGACGAAGATACCTCAGAATGGCAGTCGGGTGCATTACCCACTCCAATGGGTGCCCCGTCCACATCTGGGCTGTAGGGTACACGTGGTGGACCGATTGTGACAAGGGAGGACATGGTGCTGGACTAGCGCATCCTCATCGAGATGAGGTTGCGAACTGTAAAGGTTGAAATCATTCAGCACGTGATCGATGAGTTTGCTAGACTGAGGGACTTCATATCTACCTTGTCGTGAATGAGCCAAACATTTGGGATGCCCCCCACGAAGGTATGAGTTTGCTGTACTGCAACTTCCACTTACAACATGTCTTCAAAGCTGTGTAATTTTTCCTATGCGTTCGCTTACAAATTTATTTTTTTAATTGCCAAATACTTAGATGTAGATGGAAGAGACATGGACCTATGCCCGGATGATGGTGGCCATCCTTTGCCTGCCGGGAACTTGAGGTGAATGGTATGAGTTTGTTGCACTGCAATTTCCACTTACAACATGTCTGCAGAGTTGTGCAATTTTTCCCACGCGTTCGCCTACAAATTTATTTTTTTAATTACTAAATTACTTAGATGTAGATGGAGGAGACATGAACTTGTGCCCGGATGATGGTGGCCATCCTTTGCCTGCTGGGAACTTGGAGGTGAATGATATGTCGATTAGTTATGTGTAACACATATTTGTATTAGATGTCATCTCATCTCGTGAAATGCAAATGTATTCAATTTCACTCCTTCAATAATTTTTTCTTTGTTTTCCAACTAGACGAGGAAGGCAGCGACCAACGGAGCCCACATGACGACGACTATGCAAAGGAGGGTGAAATGCAGGACGTGAAGGGTACGTGCGTAATTTTTGTCAACTTCCATGATTTGGGTTCTATTACCAATCACTTCCCCATTACACAAATGATAATTCATATCCTTTGTTCGTTCATTTCACCTAATTTTCTTTCAACTAGACTCGGGAGAGACCGTCCCCACGCTCCCTAGCGATGACAACGAGGAAGCCCCATTGACCCATGACGTCATGGAGGTGGACGGTACGTGCCTATTTTTAACGGGTCCATCTTATTCCACGACTATGTGGCCTCCTTCACACATAACTGTTTCACTAAAATTCTCCAATTTTTTATATAGGCGTCACCACAGAGTTGTCGACACAGGTCACCATACCAGAAAAGGGAGGCAATGTGGGCAGCACAAAGAGGCGAGAATCGACTCGTGTTCGACGTCCTGCACCACCTACTCGGACTCCATACACGGGGGGAAGGGCAAAGAGAGTAAAGAAATAAGTGAGTTCAAGTAGTCCGATAAGGTGTGTTGTAGTACTAGATACGTTGTTCGTAACAAGGACATGCTTTTAATTTGGTTAGTTTTATGGACGGATAGGTTTGCTCAGCCATATGTTATACGTTAAACTGTCTTATGTAGAGTATATATTGTTTTGTGATAATCAATGTTTAGTGTAAGTATGGGATGGTATTGCCGATCAATTTTGTATGTATACGTTAACAAAATAATGTATGTATTGTTCATGATATGTGAAAGGGTTGATCAACATCATAACTAAAATGAATATATCATCATTCTTATACTACCCAGTCATATGATTTTCCAAGACAAAGTGATGGTTTTTCTAGTCAGAGTCTTCACAAAAATCCGCATGCCTCCCCTCAACCTCATCACCAAGTGCAGAGTTGACTCCTTCCGAATGTTATAGTCTGCCAATGTTTGACCGTCCTCAAACTGTTTGCCAGTGAAGATTAGCCTCTGCTGGTCTAGTGGGATTCTGTCCTTGTCCTGAATTTTAGCTTTAACATTATCAATGGTGTCGGAGCTCTCACCTTCAAGGGTTATTGTCTTTCCAGTAAGGGTTTTGACAAAAATCTGCATGCTACCACGAAGCCTCAACACGAAGTGGAGTGTGGACTCCTTCTGAATGTTATAGTCAGCCAAACTAAGACCATCCTCAAACTGTTTACCAGCGAAAATGAGCCTCTGTTGGTCTGGTGGGATGGCTTCTTTGTCTTGTATCTTGGCTTTAACATTATATTTATGGCATGTATTGTTTATGATATGTGAAAGGGTTGTTAGTTTTTTGGTGATTAGATTGCATGCATGTTTCTTATTCCATGGGTGATTAAATTTGTTGGTTTGTACATTGATTGGATGGATAGTTACGAACATTCTATGCTATGTCATTTTACTTTAGCTCACACCTGATGCAGGTAGGCAGCATATTCATTCGGAGGGTTGATTTTTGAGTTTATCATGTATGTTGATCGAGGTGTGATGAGGAATTTCTGCAAAATGATCAAGAGTACAGACAAAATGAAGGCTGAAGCTAAATGAAGAGGTGTAGTGATTATCACCAAAAAACAATCAAAGA